GTCACTGTCCCAGGAGGAAGAAAGTTTAAAGACTCGATAGCAGAGATTATAAATTTCATCTTAAAATCGGGCGGGTCCCGGATGGTCTGAGGGTCTGTGCGTGAAAGGGATTCCGGGGCTGTCCAGCGTTCTCCTCTGACCCGTTCTTAACCTTGCTAATTTTCCCGTAGCCTGCTCCACGCTGGATGGAGCTCTGTGCAGCTTCTCGCGTGTATGAGAAGAACAGGTGAACTGAAAACTAGCCTCGCCTAGAACCCTTCCTCAGGGTTATGGCGTTCGACTTTAACAGACTTCCTTGCCAGAATGAAAACCGCGCACAAAGTACAATTTAAAAGAGATGTCGACAGGAAGAACTAACTGCCGTTAGAGGCGAACCCAGGACGAGTCACAGCGCTTACTCCCCGTGGATGACCCGCGCCCAGTATTGACGCGGAACAGGCTGCTACGTACTCACCGAGACGTCTGCGCCTCCTCCAGGGCACACAGTTCACCTAATTCCCCAGCCTCCCTTGCAGCTCAGCGTGACCACGTGACTTGGGAAGGCTGAAGGAAGTGGGGATATCACCACGTGCTTCCCACGTACGGTCCTTTACCTCACTCCTCCCCTGTGTATCGACGGGATACAGAAGGTGGGGCACAGACTCTGAATCCTTGGAGCCCGGTGAGGCCGCAGGTGAAGCAGCTGGGTCCCTGCGTCCTTCTGCTGACTTAGGTAACACCGAACTGTTACAGGAACAAGAAATAAACTTCACATGTATTAAGTCAACGAGATTTGGGGGTGTCGTTACACGGGTTCATCTACGTTAATAAAAAAAGTTTTTCAAACAACACAACTGGCCCACTTATATGTAAGACATCCGAGTATAACACGCTTATCCTGGGTCACATTTATCAGAGTGGTCAATCTAAGGCAGGGAATGACAGGGCAATGAGGCTGGTCAGTGAAAACACTAATCCTACGACAAGAAAGACTGGAAAACTGAACTATCGCTAGGGTCAGCCCACATGTCAGATTTTCTGGGATGTTCCTGGTCTTAAATATCCTCAGTATAACGATGCACCTCGATTTGGGCTCAATGAAAACATGCTCACCATAGCTAAGTTATACCTACAACTATTTTCAAGACCCTAAAGTAAAACGCAGAGTTGAACCATTTAAATCTGATTCTCCAATTCTACAGATAGAAGATGGACACCTCGCCAAAGACTAAACAAAAGACTTAAAGCACACAGGAGGATTCTAAAATATGCCTGTGCAGAACGTAGCCCAGCACTTTAAAATCATGGTGCTTATCAAGATGGGCTCTGGGTATCGTTCCCTGGGAGTTTTTAACAAAGCCTGATATTATGTCTTAAAATCTCCCAGCGTCATAAACAGAAACGCTGACAGGGGCGGGACAGGCAACGAGCTGGGTCTAGAGCCACGGGCAAGGGTGGGGCCTGGAAGGAACCACAGCACACGCTGAGCTGGGGCATCCAAACCCGGTCCTTTTAAGTCTCAGGGTAGGATTTGTGGGCAGACGCTTCAAGTGTGGGCACACTGTGTGCACTCGCTCAGGGACTACTGACGACTGGTCCCCGGCCACCGGAAACCCAGGGGCTCGTCTAAAAGCTGTCCTGACGTTCTTTCCCTTTCTGCTCCTCTAAGGAGTGCTTCATGGGAGAAAGAGGATGAATGCGTGGCAACGTGAAAAAAATCTTAGACAAAAAAAGTGAAAAGAATCCAGGTAAAAGAGAAAGCAAAACAAGAATTCAAAAAGAAAATAATTTCTTTATACACAAAAAGTTTTACTGCATATCACGTATAACAATATGCAGTCTGTAAACTCTCAGAAACGCATCTTAAAAAGTGGGAGTGTCGGGAACTATGATAATTTTGAAAATAACAATCTAACTTTTTATTTAACATTTGACCAAGAAGATGCTATTAAATATGTAATGTCAGTTAGTTTATATGTGAGTTTATGTATATGCTTTTTGCTCTACATTTGGGCTTTTACCTAAAATTTCATAAAAGGACACTTTGTTAAAACAAATTCAAACTTACCAGCCACTAAGAACAAAGAGAACTGGCCGAGGTGAACTGGCCGGCGCGGGGCAGGGTCACTGCACGGCCGCAGCATCCCCCACCGCACCCCCCGCCCGATGTTTGGTGAGGAAGCCTACTGAGGCGGGTGAACAGTGAGGGGACGGTCTACGGGCGGGCGGTAGGGCCTATACAGCCCCTGCCACCTCGAAGAAAACAGGGTCGATGAGCATAAAACATATGCTAAAGTTAGAAAATGATAGTGCGCGTGGGAGGGTCACTGCACGGCCGCAGCATCCCCCACCGCACCCCCCGCCCGATGTTTGGTGAGGAGGCCTACTGAGGCGGGTGAACAGTGAGGGGACGGTCTACGGGCGGGCGGTAGGGCCTATACAGCCCCTGCCACCTCGAAGAAAACAGGGTCGATGAGCATAAAACATATGCTAAAGTTAGAAAATGATAGTGAGTGATCGAGAGGATCTTATTGCAAACAGCTTCTTAATTTGAATAATGTGGAACATGTAGCTCCATATTCTTTTTAAAAGTAAAATTTCATTTACTCGAGTTCTAATAAATCAGCTGATGTATTATTTCACGTTGTGTTCAATCCTGGAGAAACTAGGGGGCTCCTGATATACAGTGTGGATGTAAACACCACCGAAAGCACACTTCAACTCAGACCATTAAAGACTTCTGCCCATTGTTTATCAACAAATAACCGCTGATTATACCCCACGGGCAGATTCAGAGTATTTTGTGTACTTTGAAACAGCTGCACTGCCTTTACTTTACAATATTATGTAATTCGTATTTTTGTCCATTTTGGTTGGTCTTCACGTAGGTCAAATCACTGACATTTATTGTGAAGTCATCCTACCGATCGATAGTCTAGAAATTGCTCTTCCCTCTGGACCCTTTTATTCTTATAAATTTTCTTAATGCCTCACTGTACCTGGAAATTCAGGGCAGAGCTCACCATATTGTCCCCCAGGCCCCCCATTCAGAAAGTTTTCCGCCCCCAAGGCCAGGAAGCTCTTGTTATGACACCTTTCACGGGACACAGGGACTCTTGTTACCCCAGGCACCCCAGGCCGTGCTTTACTAGGAATTTTACTCAAAAAGCTTTGCCCATAGAGGTGACGGTACTGGGCGTCCAGCAATCATGTCAGGTGTTTCTTAATTCTATTTCTTAAAGTGGTGAGAATACAAATTCTGTAATCAGTGAGAGCTGCTTTCAACAGCTGGCTTAAAACTATTTGAATTTGAAGACAAATGCTTTACATACCTTAGTTTAAATCAGATCCTCTGAAGAGCTATCTATCTCAAGGATGGCATTTTCTTCCTAGGCACGAAAGGGTTTAAAATTATATAAGATTTTAAATGCTCTTTCTAGTTATCTGTCTCAACCAAGGATTCTCAACCTTTCTGAAGTGACGAGCGTAAAAGACTATCCAGTGAAGGCTCGGTTATATATAAATGTCTATTTTTCAATTTATTTGCATAATCATGGTCTATGCTTAAAATTCTGAGGTAGGGAAGGACAGTGGGGCACCACATCGTGGAAACTGGAAATGCAATCATTTCAGATAGCCCACCCAGGCCGGCCCAGCCTCACCCCTACCCCAAGCAAAAAAGTCTCCCCGCCTTTTTCTTCCCTTTGCCAAGTGTCAGGTGGGGGATAAAGGAGCCTAGATATTCAGTCTGGAGTTTTCACTGCGCTTCTCCTGTTACCTGCTTATGTCTCTAGTTCTCTCTTTTCCTGGAAGTTATGTTGATTTAATCGAGAGTTAACCAGGAATTCAGAGATTTTTAAACTCTGGAATACTTCTAAATAGGCTGAGAATTCCTGGTACTACCAAAAATTATGTAATTTTTAAACCGTTTAAATTTAGTATTTCGGCGAGAAGAATAAAGGATTTAATTTCATTCAAAAGTATTTTCTAACGACTAGTATTCGTAAGAAAAAAGATCGTGATTATAAATATATTTTACTGCAGCACTATAATATGCAAATGATCTAAAGTACCCAATTTAAGATAAGAATTTTAGCAAAAAAGTTTCTAAAATAATTTGCTTAGGCACTTAAAATTATTCTGACAGCTATATAAAACTTGTGTAAGTAAAATATAACACAAAAGCAAATTTTCCTGTTAATAATGAAAACGTTAGTTATGAATGCTTAAATTTCCCAGAATGTGAGAGCAGATCCTTAAACATTCGGCACTGTGAACGTTGCATCAATTGAGAGATACCAAGGGCTTATTTTGGTTCCTAGCGTCTCCCGCAGAAAGGGACCACCGCACGCGGGTGCGGGGAGTGAATCTGGCTTAATATTATGCGACGTGAACAGCACTATCTGTGGCTTAACAAGAAGGTAAATGTTTTTAAAATACAGTGAGAGTCCAAATGACACAGAAACTAAAGGATGAGCAAGACTAGAGCACCGATTCTTTCCTACCATTTTCCACCTAGCTCAAAGCAGTTCTGCATATGTGAGAACCAGACTGATCTATATGTTATAAATAGACCACACACACACACACACGCACGCACGCACGCACGCACGCACGCACACGCATTCAAAGGGGTGGTGGTGTGACTCAATAACCCATCTGGTTTGTCAATTTCTGAACAGTAGGAAAAAGCAAACTTTTCCAGAATGTTCACATAATAACTGATACCCTCCCAGGGTCTGGATAGCCTACTTCTTGTAGCTACAGAAAAGCACGGGCCAGGGCTGTGCTGCTGGGCACTCAGTCGGCTTCACTGAAGCGCCATGCGGCCCTGGGACCCGAGCGCCAAGCCCTCACAGTGATTAGTCACAACGCTCGTGACAGCTGCACGGCTGCCACACGAACCTGAATGTCTTTAACAGATTTAGACATGTGGAAAAAAAAAAACAACCATACAAATACTTTTTTATTTTTGATAAAAACGTGAATCATTATCACTGCAGTGAATAAAAATTCATGAGTCAGAATAACATGCAATGTTTTATTTTTTTCTAAAGCTATTTGTACACTTAGTACTCTAGTATTAACATCACAAACAGTATTACACTACAGTATTCAGCTGCATCTACTCACCTGAAAAGGAACGAAATATTGCCTCTGAAATAATTACTAATTATACAACACTGCAAACTAATAACACTATAAATACAAAAATGTTAGCATTTCAATATATGTCAATAACATCCTGCCATATTTTAATTGGCTAAAACATTTGTTAAGATCATGCAAAATAAGTATTTTATGAAAATGTTAGATCACACTCAAAGATCAAGGCAATGAAACCCAAAAGAGCAACTATTTAATGCAAAGACTGGTCAAGTAAATAACTTATTCAGCATATTCATAAAAACGGGTTAAGTGAAAACCATTACACATGTAACACTAAGTTTAAGTAATTACACATCTGCAATCTCACCGTCTACAACCTTATACGTGACTGACGATACACTGCCAGAATTAATTCTACATAAATAAGCTACGTTAAAACAGCGAAAAAGTCCGGCGCGTGAGGACAGGGCCCACTTCTAGTCCACAGAACACTTAAGCGCTGTTCACTCTCCTAACTCTGCTAACAATGAACAAAACGTCTCATCAGTTTTCTCTTCTTCTACCCTTGCTCTGTTACGTTTTTAAACTTCAAGTGTCCCCTCTCTTACGCTCCTCCCCCAGAATGAACGTGCTGATTCAGGCATAGATGAAGTAGATGAATGGCCTGGTATAGAAGCCAATGTCTTAGTTTTAACTAATTAACTGTCTCCTGACCGTTTGTCAATTGTCGCTGACCTTTCTGATGTAATTTCCTCATTCTCTCATTCCATGAATATTTAGTAGTGACTATTATCGCGCACGTTTTCTCTGATTCTCTACAGAAAGAATGCGTGTTTTTTCCCCTTCACTGGTAGGCTAAGAAAAGTTGGGCACACAATTTAAAAGTCACAGAGCGAGCCGGGTGGCTTCTCGGAAGGTGGATGGCGCTTGAAGCCGGGTCTGGGACTGGACAGAGGAGCGTCCAGGTCACAGGGAGGTTATCGGCCCTCCACGCAGGCCACTCTCCCAGCCACTCGGAATGGCCCAGTCACTGGGGCGATGCTCTCTGTACCTTCGGCTCACTTTCTTATCAGTTTTAAAGTCCTCTTTACCATGTATTTCCTACTTAAAATTTTTAAACGCTTTGGTAAGCAGTTTGTCTATTTTATACAGTAGAGCCTTGGTTCTCAATTTACCTTTAGTCTCTGGGCTACTCCATAACCTGTCGATTCTCATCTTTTTTTTACCCTTAAGAGCAAAATCTGCCTCTGGTTCACCTAACACCACGTCTTCCCTCAAATACCTGATGAGTGAATGTTCTACAAAAGGGGTCTTGAGCTTTTTCTTTTCTTTGGCAAATTAAACCCTTTATGTTTAATAAAATATTTCTGACCTATCTTCACACTCAGATCCTGTCCCAAACATTTTTATGGGGTTATGTGCCAATGACAGGTATAAGAACAAGTTGTCACAATGAAAGGTTCTAATTACAAAGACGACGGAGGCTGGTCGATGAGCCGCCCTTTCTAGTGCGTTCCTGAGGTACAGCACGTGTGTTTTTCCAGAGGCCCTCGCATCCATTACTATCTGTGGGTGACGTACAAAGATGACGAGCACGGACGGCGTCACCGCGAAACTCAGGTCAGCTCTGTCACAGGGGTACGGGAACACCATCTACTCCTGGGAGCCTTTCTTAAAGAATGCTTTCTCTCTCTTCTCCGAAGCCGGCGCTCTCGGGAGAGGCCACTGCGTGGAGCTCTGAAGACTCCTTCGAGAGCCTCGTGTAACTGGCCCGCTGGCCTCGCTTGTGCGTCACGCTTTTCAGATTTTCATTCTGAAGAGCCGTCGAGCTGGAACTGGAAGCAGGCCTCAGCACGACCTGGGGAGTCTCCCTGACCCCCTCCATCTCGTCGAAGTTCTGATTGGCTCTGTTCGCTGGGGCGCTGTTGTTATTCAGGGTCACGGTGCTGGGTGTCCGGTTCAGGTTGTAGGCTTTCTGGCACGCGGGCCAGTTTTCCTCGGGGCTGCTGGCTATCAAGCTGCATTCGGAAGGGCTCTTCTTGTCTTCGGAACAAATGGACATCCGAGCCATCACTGGGTCTTGCAGGCCACTCAGGCTGTGTGGCAGCCCCCGTTTCGCGCTGTGGCCGTCGTCCTCGAGCTCTATGAGGTTCGCCCTTTCGAGCTGGGCGTCGTCCGTGGCCTCATTGTGAAGGGAGTGGTTGGGGGAGCTCTCGCTGGACCTCACCCCGGAATCGGACGAGTCTTTCTTGTCCAGGAGGGCGTCCGACAAGTACTCCTTGGCCTTAATGAAGGTTCTGACGGGCTCGGCGCTGTGCTCCGGAGACTTGGACGCCCTCTCCTTCCCTTCCGCCTTCCTGTCCTTGTCGTCTTTGAGCAGCGGGGTGTTATCCGACTCTTCCGGCCCAGACTCGTCTTCGTCGCTTGGAAGCTTCTGGTAGCGCAGCCCGCCTCCCTTGAGCTTCAGGTCGGTCTGGAACAGGCTCGGCCTTTCCGAGCACTTGCGGCCCGGGAGGAGCTTGCCGCCCGCCTGCTCGGGCTTCTCGTCCTCCTCAGTGATGGGGTCCAGGGGCGACGCTTCGTTAGTGGAAACCCCTGACGATGAGTAGTCTAGAACGTCTCCCCTCTTCATCAAAAATGCCTTCCTTCCATCATCCTGCTTTGGGTCACCATCCTTCCCTTTCTCTGGCTCCAGATTGGAATGGATGGAGCCCCCCGACGAACTCTGACCCATGTAATATGTGCTGTGTGGGGAGGACCTGCCACTCATTGTTGCGGAGCCTGTCCCCCCTTCTAACTGCGACATCTGAGCAATATATTCTCTATAGGCATCTCTATACTCAGCCTGCACCTTATCCGTAAGCTTTGAAATTTCAATGCTGGAATCCTGGGAATTGAGACTCGAAAGACTTGGGGTTCTGCGAGTTTGTGACTGTGAAGACAGAAAAACATTTAAGAATTCAAATAAGCAAAACATATACATATAATAAACATCAGCTTAGGAAATATATATGTACACTAAGAATTTTTAAAGTATTTGACACACAAAATTCTTTGAAAAGAATTCTACATAACACGGTTTAACAAAAGCTGTGAACTTAACGATCATTTTACTGTTATTAGAAAGCTTTATACAAATTTTAATAATCAGTTTAATATTCGAATTAAAGGTTATATTAACAAATAATCTTAGCACTTGTTTTTATAACTTCCAACTTTTCACTTTTAAAGGCAAAAATCACCTTCATTGATAAAATGTAAAGATTTGCCTTAGAAAAAAGAAAGATTAAAGATATATCTCGAAAACAAAATACTCATGTCAATATATGTTAAAAAGAACCTTTCTCAACTTGTAAGACATGAAGTTTCCATCAAATTTCCATTCGGAGTAAGAAAATGTACTCGAAACGCTC